CTTAGCCAATCAGAATGTAGCATTTGCAATAATCCACTAGTATGGCAATACTAGTGCCTCATATTCCGAGAGAGCCAGCCAATGAGAGCGCCGTCGAGTTCTTATGAGGTTTTACAGCATGTATATGCTAATTAATATTATTRCGCTTGTGAATTTGGAAATGTGTTTATTATTTATTGGGAAAAGTTTATAATTATTGAGAGTTCATCTCAACAAATTTCAGATATGTCATACTTACCGGAATGGCTGTCAAAATATATCACTGCAAAATCAACCTCTTTCCCAGTGCCCTCTCTGTACCTAATTTCAAAATGGCGGACGCTACAGAGAGGTCCCTGGCAAACACTGATTATCACGTGATCAAATACTTCAAAATTCATGGAGTATTTGATCACGTGCCTATCTATTTAAAGATGCTAATTCGCAACGTAAACTAAAGGTTTTTAATTGGACAACTGACGTGAATTTGAAGCAGTATTATTGCCTTTTGATCAATAAAATGGACATCAAACTCTTCAGAAAATTTGACGTATTACAATCAAAATAACGGTTATACAAATCTCGTCGAGCAAACCCAGATTGGTAGGCGAATATTAGTTTAAATAAGACAAAGACAAGCAATATAAGAATGGTGCGTCTTTATCAGTCAATCACAACGCGCATTATTTCAGTGTTTGTCAGGGTCTTCTCTGTAGCGTCCGCCATTTTGAGTTTTAAAATTGGCCTTAAGTGTGTTATTAATCATGAATTGCATTCCTGCGAGTAGATTGAAAGATCAAAGAAATAAAAACATGAAGTGGATTGAAATCCRGYAWGGACAACACAACARAAAGCTGGTTTGAAAACTCGTACTCGTACTCAATCTCGTACTCGTTGCCAAATCTGAAGTTCCCTAATAGCTACAGAGAGAGGGCACTGGAACGATGTTGCTGTAAAATCACTTGCTGTAATTGTTCAATATAAGTTTAATAGCTTTAAATATCTGTCTTTTATAGTTTATTAAACTTCGTTACTAAACTATCACTTAACCATGATTACAGATCTTGGCAATGGATGGCGTCGCTATGGTGACGCTGCTATCAAGCTATTTTCAGAGAAGAAGAACTGGACCGATGCTCGTAAACATTGTCAGTCGTTAGGTGGTGATCTTCTCTCCATTACCAGCTCACACGAAAACGACTTTGTGAATGAAGTCTTTGTGAAGCAGCTGAACTTGTCATACTTCAGAGAAGGTAAGGAATAAAAGTATTCATTTAAGTGATAAAAACACTTATACGTGCTAAGAAAGGTGAAATCATCGATGTAACTGTTACCCCCGGGGGAGGGGGACTCCTTTATAAAATGGGAGGTGGTCCTCGTCGGCAATTCTAAAAATGAACCCTAAAATGGAGCCGTATTGTGAGATGATGGGCGTTACAGTGCTGAAATCTTACCCCTAAGAGGGACCAATCAATAAACGGTTATTTTGTTTTGGTTTCCCGATTTTATTTGAGTTTTTGCAAAAACATCAAACGCCGTTGGCTCGTATTGAGTTTTTGAGGACGTTGTCATATACAAATATGTGGTAACGGCTTAGGGTCGTCGTATACCCTAAAAGGGACCACAAAACTTTGTTGGTGGGAATTCTCGTCATTAACCCTAAGCGGGACCAAACCATTGATTTCAAACCCTAAAAGGGACGACGTTGACCCCCGCCCTTTTATATTAAGGAGTCCCCCCGGAACTGTTACACGGGCAGCCTATTGAAGAATACCTTTTTTTAATATTCTTTTCTATGGTTTTTTGTTTTTTGAAAGATTATCCAGATTTTGGGACGCCATCTGAAGTCTGGAAGCTGAACCAATCCGATTCAACTGTAAAGTAAGAACTGATTCGTTTCGTTACTTTGAACTGTTGGTTTTCCTGCGCACGACCCTCACTGTTTTTTATCTATTTTACTTGTAGCTTCATTGATTGAAACTCTTATTAATAAAAGCTAGGAATATTTTACCAGTTATAGGCTTGACCGACTGAATAGACTA